AATCATTTTTCATCGAACACAGGGAAGATATCAGAAAGGCTATCATCAAAGCAAACATTCGTCTACTTTATAAAAATAAAAGTTATTTAATCGAATACCAACCATATCACATATTTATAATGCGTATAAGAAAACATCACAAACCCAATGATATAATAGAATATATTTGTGACTGCTCAATCACTTTAATTCATGTAAAACAACTTTTGAATATTTATAAATGGAGATTGAACATCGAAAGACATTGAAATTATAAGTTAAACTAATCAAAAAAGATATACGATGGCACTTCAGATCATGGGCAGCATTTACTGGAAAAATCTGTCACAAAAAATATTGTCAATCTTTTAGAATACCGGCCAAAATCATTTATCACCAATCAATTCGTTGATAGAATCATTTATTATTTTAATTATCATTAACTTGGTTCAATGACATAATTCCTAGATGAAAAGTAATTTACAAAAAGTCTATAATAAAATTTTGAGATATTAAGTTCAGGCTTTGTCCATTGAGTTCAATTCGTCTCACTGATATTCACTTTCTTCTGAAAAGAGACTTTTTTTTTTTGATTTCATTTAAATACTATAAATATTATCATCAAGTGGATTTAAATAATATGATTATTTTACTTTCGATAACAGTAATTTCAATACCAATCCCACACATGATTGTTAATCACAATGATTGTAAGTTTTGGTTTCATGTCAGAATCAAACTCAATACATAAACGACGATCTTCTACTCTATCATAAAAATAATTCTTTTCTAAGTTGTGATTAAAGTAATTACTAACTTCCTTAAAGTAATTATAAGCACATTCTTCATCTTTATTGATATCTAACCTCATTGAAAGGCTTGTTGCCATCCAAAATTTGGCATCAAAATTATATTCTGTCTTACTTTCACTTAATTTTGCTAAGATATTCCATTTTTCAATAAATTTTCTTTCATCATGAAAAGAATTTGCCTTTTTAAGCAAATATAAATCTTTAAACTTTTTATCAATTTTGTTAGCTTTTTGTAATAACCTTCAAAAATATAAATTGTTATCCAAAATTTGGCAGTAAATTTAGCTTTATTTTCCGATTCGCTGAAATAATGATTTAATCTGTATTTACAAGTATCAATTTCTGAAAAAATAGTCCAGGCTTCCTCATATTTTTTTTTATCATAGAGTTTTTCT